TACAGGAAAAACGAAAATGTTCCGAAGTTGATTATGGTAATGATTGTACAACACTCCTTGATATGATTGAGCGATTGCACTGTATGATATTTAGATTACGTCCCAATAAAACTGAAAATAAAATAAAGGAAAAACCTCCTATCTACCATGTTTCCAAATGTATTAAACTTGAGCGATGCTTTAGACAAAGTAAATTCAAGTGAATGGTTATTTAAAATAAGCATTATTGCCACCAGCACTAGCAGTAGGGGCAGTTTATAAGCCAGGTGCTTCTAACACTAGGTTCTAGGTACTTGATGTGGATCTCGTTTAATCTTCCAATTCAGCTGTTCAGGCATTACGGTCCCCATTTTCCATCCGAGGAAAACAGCCCACAGATGAAGACTGATGAGGTCGACCAAAGTTGCTAACAGCAACTGAGCTGCTCTCTGGGCTCCTGTAGGGAAAATCAGTGTCTGTGGAGCCTTGTTTACATGGCTTCAAAACCACTGCTCTACCTACCGGCGTCTAAGACGCATGCTGGCCTCCTGTCCTGCTGCTGGCTGGCTGGCCAGGCCCGCCACGCTGCAGAAAGCCCACCTGCTCCCTGTGATTCTATACAGAGGGTTTTCTGAGGTTGGGTTCAATAAGCACGCTGACAATCACTTCAAACGGCACGTAGATGCATACGGCTGGCATCAGATTTCAAAGGAGATCGTGATCCAAAGAAGACAGAATTGTGCTCTAGGTATTTCTTAGAATCTCGTTTTTAGCTGTTACGACTTAGAAAATCTTATCCTTCATTTCTGAAGAAATTTCAGACTATGACATCCTGGTGTGCGCTTATATAGAGAATATAGTTGTGTCAATTCCTCAAGTGAGCATTTCAGAATTGAACTCAAAATAAAGAAAATGAGGGAGGCATTGTAGCTGCACTATCGGCCTCGGGGTGGTCGCGCTCTGGTTTTCATCACATACGTAGGAAAAGCTACTGAGCACTGCTTAAAGAGAAGGAAACAGGAGCTGAATTTATCTGAGTTGTCAAACTTAAAAAGATATATCAAGTTATAAGCGTTACCTGAGGAAATATACCACGCTTAGCAATTATTTTTCCAAATAAAGAACAACATAGGAAAGGTTTGCTCACTTTAAGCAGTAAAGGTTGTACCCCCCCCCACCCAAAAAAACAACAACCACAAAAAAAAACTCTTGCAACAGATAAAAAGTGCAGATGGAATTTTTCACATTTCTTCCAAAGAAGTTCTGCTGAATTTCAAATATTTTCTTTGAATAATCACATTTGACAAACAGAAAGGCTAATGTTAGCAAGGTAATTACCGCTGATGACGGCAAGGCCCACAGGGCTATGCCTGCAGGTGCTTCCCTCCAATGTTCCCACCCCAGCCGATGCCCGAGAGCTCACATTCTGAGCACACACCACACTGAAGAGTGGTTATTGCCATTCTTCCTAGAGCCCACACAACTTCCTTCCTGCAGAGTTCTTACAGGGTGCTTGAGATACAATTTGATTTAAAAAATACAATATATGACACCAAGTTTTAAAAGCATACTCACTATATAAATTGAGCAGAGATTACTGTTAGAGGCATAGCTTCGATAAGTTAGTTTTGAAGTCAAAGGTTACCCTAAAAAGTCCTTGAATAATAATCTATATTACGCGAAGCCATTTCCTATCAAGGGTTGCACAAAAAACTTATTATTTGAGTAAGAATGAACATAGAAATATATATCTATACATTTACTACATATATGCATACATATAATATATATATAACCTGGCATTCAGCATGGGGAAGATTAAGAATTGAAAACTGTAGGGATAATGGAATGGTATGCAACAAAACTCACTGTCATTGAGTTGATTCTGGCTGACAATGACCATGCAGGACAGGGTAGAATTGTCCAAGACTACATTTATCTGAGTAAAAAGCTTCATCTTTCTCCTGATGAGTGGCTGGTGAGCCTGAACTGCTGACCTTGCACCTTAGCAGCACAACATAGAACCCACTATGCCACCAAGCTCATATGGAACGCCATAGGCCATCACAAACACAACCAGCCAATGGACAGGCATGCAGGGAAAGGGATAAGAAATTAAACAAATGAAATATGGTGCAGCCCTCTACTAACGTGCCATATATCCATGGCTATGTGTAAGGATGATATTGAGCTGTCCTAGTAAATTAATTTATATTTAAATGTAATAACGTGGCATATGATATTCTTCAAAAGTAATCACTATCTAACTCCTAGCTCACGTGCTCTTCTCTAGTGTTATCTTCATCCTCGGGGTGGAGCTCAACTTCCTCCCTCCTTCCTCTTCTCTCCACCGGGCCAGAGAGGCCACAGAGGCCATGAGAGGCCATGGGAGGTGGGGCTTGCAGCTCAGGTTCCAGTTCAATCAACTGAAACCTGTCTTGGATGGTCAACCCAGAAGGGGTGTCACGTTATTGCAGCCCCCACAGACGTTTGATGGCAACGGCTTGAGAGACCACGAGCAAGAATCGCTGACCTAAGAACAGTCAACCAATAGGGCAATGAGACACACTAATTCATGTCTGTATTCATCCACTATGTTTCTGGATGATTTGTTATGCAGCATTGGTAAATGGAGCAGCTAATTAAAAAGTTCCAACTCAAATCATATTTCTGAGGCTTTGCTTTGAGCTAGGAAATGTGGTAGGGGTGGGAGTGTTATGTAAATTACATTATTTAACCTTCACAACAAACTTATTGAGTAGGTATCATCTTCACTTAATAGAAGAGGAAATTTGCAATAATTTTCTTGAAACATGGGAGCTGCTTTTTGTATTAAGGATTCCATGTCTTAATGATTGTCTAAGGATAATAAATTTTAATTATTTTAAAAAGGTCCTACAGTTACCTTCTAAATATTGAGTTACTTTAATGTTTTTCTTTTTTTCCTTTTTCACCAAGGGTCCTTCAAGGGTAGACATAACAGATGTCCCTCATATGGAGGGGGGAGGGGGAGAGACAAGTTGTGTTCTGCCACTTTCTGCCACTTATTTTTCAGGCTCTGCATTTTGATAGAACATTCCTAGGGAATGGTTAGGATTTCAAGCAAGTTCCCCAAGGCCCAAGTAGATTTGAAGTCGAACGTGGGTAAGATGATTTCTCTAGCCATGGCGTGTGAGTTATCTTAATTTAATTAAACAAGATTGTTTTTCTCTTTCTCTGGTGTTGATTACACAGCTCCACCTTGATCAGGCATTTGGTGATTTTTGGTTGTGTCATAAATGAGGACCCCCCACCGGTGGAGCTGTAAATGTGGGCTCACTCCCAGGGTGGATGCCTGGACAGTTGGGAGGCACCAGCGGTTGTCACGGTGATGCATGGCTCTTTTCCACAGAGGGTGAACGGGTGTCAGAGGTGCTAAGCATACTCTCTCTTTTTTTTAATTTATCATTTTATTGGGGCTCATATAACTCTTATCACAATCCACACATACATCAATTGTGTAAAGCAAGCACTCTGATACACTCATTGCCCTCCTCATTCTCAAAGAGCATACTGTCTTTATAGGATGCATGAAACTGTGCTGCGTAACAAAGGACTGCCTTGGGTCCCACGTGATTTTCAGATGTTCTAGCAAACATTTATGTTGGTCAAGCCCAAACAGACAGGGAAACAAACAAAGAACACCAAACGCCTTGCCTTCACTTATTTGAAGCTGGAACTTAATTTACCTTTACAGATAAACTCCAGACACTTTTGTTCAGTGTAATCAACATGGTGTACTGTAAGTTTGCAACTCCTGGGTAAATTCATGGAAGCTTGTATTTTCCTCTGTTCAGACCTTTGCCAACGCTTGTTCACCAGGTCCAACAATCATGGGACTGATAGCAACATGTGCACTCTCCTTCAGCTGACGCGAGACACTTGTTGTAGTCTATACTCACACATCACAAGTGTGGTCATGTTAAAGTATAGGTGCAAGATTCTGACACTACAGAATGTCTCCTATTGCTGTTCTGTCAAAATATTTACAAACAAAGATTTTATTAAAAATCCCTTGGCATTATTTCTCCATCATATACTTAAGGGATTTTATTGAGTTTCATAAACAACGAGAGTTAGGTAAATTATCTATAATTTTCATTGCAGGATAATAAAGAGTATACTAGAGAATGGGAGGAGCATTGGAATCCATAAGAGAGCCAACGTGCTTGGGAGATAGAAGGAGGCAAAGATGGAGGTGTTCAATCACTTAACTTCCCTGATGGGATATTGGAAGTTACTTAGAGCTTTATTTTGTTTTCTAGTCCAATGCTGACATGGGTGTGTCCTGGACAAAGCTTGCATTAAGTTTAGAGATGGACTCTCTTGGCTGAGGAGTAAACGCTCATGCCAGTAGCTCTGAGAGTGGAGAAGCAGCTCATCGAATCCACAGCCCTTTAATAAATCACACCGTGACCGGTCCATTGGGTCACCGTGAATCAGAACTGACTTGATGGTAGTGAGTTTGGTTTGGCCTGGTCCAGAGTCTTTTTCTAATCTTCCCCGTCTGAGATCATGAGTTTTTAAATATAACTCTACCTTTTAAAAAAGTATTGTCTCGATCACCTTGTCTTTCAGCTGCATCTTATTATACGATCATTTGCTCAACTGGGTTGAACTTTAAGTCTGCTGTACATTGCTAAAAAAAAAAAGCTTCTGTGTTGATACCATCCTTCTAGATTTCCAGCGCTGCTGTGGACTTATATATATATATCTTTCCTACCATTGCAAAGGAGACTTTGGCTAGAAGAAGAGGTGAAGACGTGTTCTCAGTCGGCTATCTTTAGTCCTATGCCATGATGAGTGGTTTAAAGAAAGCACATCCCCCTGTACAATATGTACACTGACATTTCCATCGGCTAGCCATCAATGTTAGGTAACAAATATACACAAGAAAATTAAATTGTCAGACTCAAAATGCTCTTATTTTTCTTTTGTTAACTAAATTTTTTTTAAAGGTAAAAAAATTGCCAAAAACTTACAATCCATATCAAGTATGGCACGAACAGATCTAACAAGTTCCTTAGATTCAAGCACCAGGGCCGCAGGGATATTACGTCCACTCCTTCCCAGATGTGTTAGGGAAGTCTGAGATGCTAACATCGCTCTTCTTTCGCTGAGAGGGAAATAACATTGAACATGGTATCAACAGGTCATATATATTGTGATAAATATGAATTCTTACAAATTAGCAATGTGTATACAGACATCTCTCTTTCTGGGACCACAGTGCTCTTACAGCATGTTGTTCTTGTGATGAGCTGTCAGGTTGATTCTAGCTCCTAGCAACCCGTCTGACCAGTTCCACCTCCCCAGAGGGCCTTCCAGGCCACCATCCTGACTGGAGCACATGCCAGCCTCTTTCCTCCCGAAGAGTTGCTGGTGGGTTCGAACCATCAGAGCTTTCAGTTAGCAGCCCAGTGTTTAATCGTTACACCGCCAGGGCACTTCTTATAGACACACAAAAAATAGTCCAGCAAAATAGGTCTTCAATTCGATATTATACAATAAACAGAAATATTTTTTCAGAATTAAGCTAATTTCATATATATGAAGCAAGTAACAGAAGAAGGGTGTACCTCCTAAATAAATCAATGGGCTTACTTTGTGAATGCTTATATTAAGCTAACATGACATTGCCTTTCATTTTGCTTTTATAAAGATCTAAATAAACTACAGTTATTGAACATAGTTATTGAACATTTACCATTACTTCTAGTAATATAAAATACAAATTTGATCATATATATTGAGTTCCAAAAGGATCCCTAATGCACTTCCATTTGTTGCTCCTCCACATACAACAGCCTGGGTTTCACGTCACTTAGATGCAGACGCCACCTGAACTGAATGTGCTCTAACACAATGAAGACCGCAAGGCCTGGCTGCAAAAAGCCCTGTGCGAGAGCTGTTTCTTGGAAAGAAACAATTTTAATTAAAACCACGATGACTTAAAATTCATCATCTTAGCAGTGACATTATGAATGCACACAGAGAAACTAATGCATCAGTTCTCAAATGGAAACACCCTGTTTTCTTCTGTGCGGAATGATCCAGGACAAAGTCCACCTTTCCCATGAAGCAGGTTAAGGCAGGAACAGGTTCTGACTTTTAATCAGTCATTTTTAATTTTCACTTTTAACAACACAGCTTTGGAATGATGAGTTAAGGTCACGAGATTGCAGGAGGGAGGAGACATCTAGTCCATTCATATCTGACTGCTGCATATCTTAACACCTTTATTGAAAAATAAACATCACAGACTGCACATAATGATCTCATAAATAGAATGGAGAATGATACAAAGTTTCAGATTTCTTAGTTATAAGAAATAAAGTAGTGGAACTGTTTATAAGGCTCTACATATAACCTTCTCCCTGGGGGACGGACAACAGAAAAGTAGGTGAAGAAAGGGAGATGTTGGATAGTGTAAGGCATGACAAAA